GTAAGTTTCTTTTTTTTTTTTTTTTTTTAATTTCTTCAGACTTGTTTCACAAAATCTACAAAATCAGTTTTAGTAGGTCCTTAGTTATGACACCTCATTACTGTAATCCTTTCCCTGCTTTTTGCCAATCTTGATAGTTTCACCATTACCACTGTAAAAAAAGCATCTCCCCCTTCTCTTTCGAAAAAAAATATACAAACACCATATTGGGAAAAATGAATGACTGAAAAGGGGTCAATATCTGAAAGAGAGTCCAAAAGTCTGTGATATGTACAACATAAGACAATAATATTTGTTTACAGGCTTGACTGCATGAGAGTAGTAACTACCAGGGACAAACAGATTCTTGGAAGCTGCTTTCGCAGTCCCCAGTAGAAAGAATGGGGTGAGAGTAACCACTGTCTTAATTGTGGTGGAAGTAAGAATGTGAACAAGGATATTTAAATTTCATAGGATTACTAGTACTTGCACCTCAGAATCCAGAGGGCAGCATTTGGGTAGCAGATCACCACTATGCTACACAGGAAATTTGGGAAAGGTATAAGAATGGCTGGAAATTTCTTCTTGTATCCCCATCCCATAGGGCCGTAAGAAGCAGCCACTCTTTCACTTAATCTCAAATGAGATGTACTTTAGGCCTAAATACATCCTTTTTTTCTCTGGGACTTCGCTAGGAGCAGTTCCTCTCATCTTTCTGGAGAAGCCCTATGGTGACAGAAGCCATGGCTTTGGTCCATATTTGTAAATACTTTGAGAGAAAAGTCAAATAGTTCAAGTAGAAAAATGTTAGACGGGAATTTTTAAAGTATACTTAAAAACACATTTTAATTGATAGTGAGATGGAATAAGTCACAACTTCACCTGTGAGGGTTGTGGTCTTGGAGGCACTGCAGGGGGGTAGGCAACAACTCCAGCCTGTTGCTGTCCTTTAAAAAGACATAGCATTTCAACTACTGTTAGCTAATGGTGCTATTTAGTATGGAGCATACTCTTTGCAAATAATGAGTTTGGGTCCAATTTTTAGATTTGCTGACATAAAATACTGCAAGTAACATCTGCATATAATCTGTCATAACAAGAACTGTTATTCCATGATACTACACAGTTATGTTCTAACCTCTTTGGTCAAACAAAATTGGCAAACAGACAACAAAGAGTGAGAATCAGACCAGGGTGCTAGATCTACATTACCCTTAACTGCTGCATAAATTTGGGTCAGTTTCTCTATAGCTCAGGTCCCTGCTCCACCTCATCCCCCGCAAAAAAAAAAAAGAAAAAAAAAAAAAAAAAA